GGTAGATGATGTTCTGCACATTCCTCCAAAACACCTCACTTTAAAAAAAATAACATTGGCACTTTATGAGTGTGTCAAGGTTGGTTCTTTTGTGTGGTCTTATAATCTTCCTGCAATGTCTCATCATTTGTCTCCTGTAACGTGATTCACTTGTACAGGTTTTATAGCCGCAGAGAATGACAAGTGTATTAATGTGCTGAAAGAAATATATTAATGTGGAACTACAAGCCATTTATTATGTATGCTGCTGAATCTTTTTACACCCACAGTAAATATTTTCTAACATCAATGAAGCTGCAAAGATTCATCACCACAGACTTGAATTTTTGCATTTTCTCTTTGCTCGCTACGGTCATACTTCGTTTGTGGCAATAAGGGATGTCTCCTGTTCCTACCAAATGAGTCTATCAACTGAAAGAAAGATCTGTATTTATCTGTGTCTGATATTCCTCTCCACATACAACGATTTGCAACTCTGCACGTTCTGTGTAAATCTCAAGTCCATGCAGTAAGGAGCAGGTTTTGAGTAGAAATGTAGTATTCAATGTGAGAAGCGCTTTGCTGGAAGTGTCTCCTCCTGTGGCAGAGTAGAATTCATTGGGAGAAGGGTGGCATGGTGTGGAGCAGAAGACAGCTGTCTATGGCATTCCTATGGTAGATCTAGAGGTACTGGCTGTGAAGCTGTCCTCAATCTCTTTTGCTGCCTCAATTGTCTTGCTCCGTATGGTATGAGGCTGTCATGTTCTCACTTGGAAAACTGCTGGAATGAGAAGGAAAGCTAAATATTTTACCAGGTAATGGTCATGTTGTCACTGCATTTGAAAGTGAAGTTTTGCAGTGCACGTTGAGAAGGAGGGCCTTCAGGTTTATGGTCCAGCAGCCACTCTGGTTAATTAGTACCTTCCTTAACGTGTATGGTCTTGCATTCCTTACCTGGCTGAACAGCCCCACTAACTTTAGAGTCAGATGTTGAAAGGTCATTGCAATAATTAAGGATTGCTGAGGGACATTTTTCAAACAGAAAAAGGAGACATGAGGAAAGAACTAATTGTGCCATTTGAAACTCTCCTGTTTCATATTTAATGGTAACAGAAATGTAGAGGTAGACAAATGCAGAGGTAGTCACTAAGGTCCAAACTAGAACAACTGGGCTGTATGAGCAATTAGTTGATGACCCTGTATTTCTCCCGTCAAGCTTAATTCTGTCCCTTGATTGTCCATGAGGGATTTAAAGACTTTATTTTTACAAGTAAGAGAGATATTTCTTTCTCCTCCTCCTTCATCTTTCTCTCTGTCTGCCATTTTTCTATCCAAGGTAGGGAATCCTTTCTTTGAGATTTTAAGCCTTTCCCTCAGTGAGGATGTGATGAACATCACAAAGTGTTCATGGCATTTCACATGGACCTGTGTTAACTCCATAAGGGCCGGGTAGAAGTGAGGTCCAGCCAGAAAGCATTGTACTTGGTCTGCAAATCACAGCGCCCTTTCCAGTCAGTTATTTGTGTGTGTAGCTGTCTTGTTTGTCTCACGCTCCAAACACAGACCCATGACTGTGTTAACAGACCCATTTATAATGTTAGATGATAGTATGGATGTGGATTTACTTGGATTAAAAGAAAGAGACCTAAAGAGCCAATACTGGGACCATGACCCTATGTGATACTTCTGTATTGGTGAGGTAAATTCCTGAAAGCCAGTGGAACTGAAGTAGGGTGTTGGTGTAACCAGGTTGTTTGATGAATGATGTGCATTTCTTGTGCTAAGCTTTGTGCTGTGTACCAGAAGAGATGGGTGACTGTTGTGCCTCAAAAGCACGAGCTCTTCACATCAATGTGTAGGGAACCTGGGTGATAAAACATTCACCGTGGTGGGAAAAGAAGGTTGGATGAGGTACAGTGGGCTTTACTTTCTCTGAGGAAGGGAAATGAGGAGAGAACTGGTGCTTTTTTTCTTTTTCCTTCTTATTTTTTTCCCTAGTACCCATCTTTTGTATTGAAATATACAGTGGTCTCTTGATTGTTTGTGAGGTTGAGTGTCTGAGGAGAAGAAGTGCCTCTAGCAGACATGATCAAGGAGCAGTCAGCTGGTCCTGGAGGTACTGCCACCCCACACGAACACGTATGTTGGCTGCCTGAGTCTGCATAGAGCCGAGTTTCGGTGTTGCTGCTTAAACAGCACAATGTCATCCTTGTTAGTCACTTTTAGTGGGGCAAACTAATTGGCCAGATATCCTCTGGCTAGTTCTACCAGCTGTGGGGTTGGTTGGGTTGGAGATTGAGAAACCAGCTGCGTAACAGTGGTGCAAGGGCTGGCATTCAAGTATTTCCATTATCAGGGAATAACGTATCTCATGCACAGAGGTCATTTTTTTACTAGAAGGCTATAGGTCACTTTCCAGTATCTCTTCTGCATAAGAAGTTTACTGAGCCGTGTATGTGCTTGCGCATTTATTTGTCTGTCTTCTTCACTTCCATAACCTTCAGATGTTCATACATAGATTGGTTGTGCACATCTTGTATACACACCTGGACAAACCAATGAATACCACCACGTAGAAACGAGCCCACTTTTAAGGTGGCAAAGATTTTCTGCATGCCAAGTGCAATTACTAGCTTGCTTTGGTTGCTCTGTAATTCTTAAGGCAGGTCTTTGCTCCCTACTGCCTGGCAAGATCTAGTAGTTATTTGTATCATCTGCATCACGGAGAGATACTGCATCCGCAGAGAATCAGCAGTGTCAGCAGCTACAATATTTCTGTCAATCTTTCGTTTAATTGGATTGTTTCTTTTATAAAGAGCAACGTTTTCATATCAAGTGAGTCAAATTGACATGGTCAGGATTTGACTCCATCCAGCCAGAAGGAATCTTTCATTCAGCTGTTAATACAGCTGTACCCAGGGAAAGTTGCAAAAGTAGTTTTTCATCAAGAAGCTACAGAACTTGGAAAAGATTGTTAAACAATGGTGCTAATTTTTTGTGGACTGGGGAAAAACTTCATCCAGACTCACTCCTAGACAATCTCTTCACCATCTCTGTGTTTATTTTTGGGGTGGTTTTCTTTTGTTGTTATATATATGGAAACATTCACTTGGGAAGGAGATCGTGGCTCCAGAAGGAGAAGCAGAGAGTTGCATTCATTTGCCTCAGAATATCACGCTGCCTCGAGAGTTAGGACACTTGTTATTTTTATGAGATTTTACATATTTAAAACAAAAATGCTCATCCCAAAACCACGATGGCACTCCTCCCTTTTTCCCTTATTACAATCTGAAAATGTTAAAAACCCTCCAGATTCCCAGATGGCAAAATAGCTTTCTGGCTGGTCCTCTCATCAGTGCATGTTGTTAATTTATTTGCCTAACCCCATGATTTTTTATTTTTCCTGTCTTTGGATGAAGCCCCTCAATCTTAAATATGAGTTAAGGGGAAGTCCAGGCATTGCAGGGTAGGAGGCAGATGTTATTAGAAGTTCAATGCTGTTGCATTGAATTCAGTGTAAGCACCGTGTGTGATCTAAAGCTGTGAACACAGACTGGAAACAGGAGTTCATTTCTGGATCTCTTCTTTTTTTCTATCAAAGCTTCTTCTTGTGCTTTGGGCTGGGCTGGCGACTAAAACTTTATTGTCCTTGCTTTCTGTTTCATCATTCATCTCTGCTACTAGCATATGTACTTATCTTGCTTTTCTCCCTTAGAAGTCAGTTTTCTGTTTGCTTCCTAAGCTCCTTCTGTATCTGTGGTCCTGGATGATCCTCCTTAGCAAGTTTTTGCCACTTTTTTCATAGATTTCCTAATATCCTAATGTAGCAAGTCAGCAAAGCTGGTTAGGTCTAAGCTGCTCTCTGTCCCAGAGTGCAGAACTTCACTCAGTTCCCATTGTAATGAGCTTTGATTTCCCAAAAGGTGACCAAACATCTGGGCAGCTCCCTCCAAACTTCTGTGTCATCTTTCCCCTTCCCCAGAGCCTTCGTGTTTATCATGTTCTATAATAATCTCAGTTTGTTAAGCCCTTTGCTTTTCCCTCTCTTCTCATGTCATAATTCCCTTGCTTTGAGGCTTCTCCTCCTGCTTCCTGGATCAGTCTGGGTGCTCATCCATTCTGACATGCTTGCTCCCCTCTTACCACTGGAAGATGAGACTGTGGCCTCTCTTTTCTTCCTTGTCCCCTGAATGATCTGTCCTTCTCTCCAAAGTTCTACTCTGCTCTCTGTGCCTTGCCCTAATAAATTGTCCAGCCTGCACGAGGGGCTGAAAGACGTGTTTCCCCTGTGCCTTGTTTTCCCCAGGCTGCATTCCCAACCCTTCTCTCACTCTCCCCAAATTGTTTCTCCCCTGGGTTGTTCTTCTGGATTGCTTTGTTCTGATACCTCCTTTCTATCAGACCATCTTCCTCATCCCAGCTGTTATGATTTCTCTCCTTTCCCAACACCTTATCCAGTACTGCATCTACAGGACTGGGTCCCTTCTTCCCCCTCCCTGCCCAAGCATCTCTGGAGATCATAGAATCATTTAGGTAGGAAGAGCCCCTTGGGATCATCGAGTCCAACCATCTCCCCTACTCTACAAAGTTCTCCCCTCCACCATATCCCCCAACACCACATCTAAACGTCCCTTAAACACATCCAGGGACGGTGTCTCAACTCCCTCCCTGGGCAGCCTATTCTGATGCCCGACCACTCTTTTCTGTGAAAAATTCTTTGATCCCCGACCACTCTTTTCTGTGAAAAATTCTTTCCTCGTGTTCAGTCTAAACCTGAATCCTCAGTTCCACACTGAAAAAAGGCAGGAATTGCTTTGCTTCACACACACACACAAAAAAAAAAGGAAAAAAAAAGAGGAGTTATATTCATCTGATGGCTTTTTTCTCCCTGGCTCTCATTTGCAGCGAGTATTTTTGCAAAAAGCGCTCATCCCCGAAGCTAACAATAAATCTGTGCGTGTGTGTGAGAGAGAGGGAGAGGGAGAAGAAGGGAGGGAGAGAGAGCAATACAAGAGTCTGGCGATGCGAGGCGGCATTGGAGAGCTGCTAGACCAGGGGAGCTGGCGGAGAGAAGCAAAGCCCCTCACTCCGGGCTCAGCGGGATCCCATTGGTTCCCGAGCTGCTCTTCCAAAGCGAAGAAGAGCTTGGAGGATTGAAGCGCACAGCCAGACGCAGACACTCAGCCAAGTTGTCAGCACGCTGGGAGGAAGAGAGGCTCACACACACACACACATACACACACACACAGGAGATTGCAGGGTGTCCGCTGCTTGATGCTCGTTTGTTTCCAGAGAGGAAGAAAAGAGAGTGAACAAACCAAAAAAAAAAAAAAAGGAACCAGAAAAGGGGGACGGAGTCTCATCCAGTCCAGCAGTCCCGAGGGGAATAATGGATGTGACCATATCTCAGTTCATCTTAGAAGAATTTGATGTCAACTGCAGCCTCCTGGATCGTTTACAAGAGACTTTTTTAGAGAGTTCCTCTATCCCTTTCCTGGGCTTTGATGGTAGGAAACATTACCTAGCAGCAGGGCTGGGAAAAGCTAAGATTCGGTTTGCTTTGTGATGCAAAGTGTGTGTCGCTTTTGTGCTTTCTCAACTGCTTCTTTTTTTCCCTTTCTGTCTCCTTTTTGAACGCCAAAGGTCCGTACTGCAATGCCACCACTGATCAGATCGGGACCTGCTGGCCCAGAACCTCTGCGGGGGAACTAGTAGAGAGACCCTGCCCGGAGTTCTTCAATGGGATCAAATACAACACCACAAGTAAGTACAAACTCCTTTCCTTCTCCCACAGATGCGGTGTTGAGAGGGCGCCTGGGGAGACCCAAAATATATTTTCCATTTAAAAAAAAAAAAAAAAAAGTGTTTGCCGTTTGCCTGGGAATCAACATTTCCTCTACATTCCAGCCTGTATATTTAAAATTCCTGCCTGGAATGATGCAGATTTCTCAAAAGCACAGACTTTTGGACATTGATTCCTCTTTGCTTAAATGTAGTTAGGTAGATCCGGGCAAAAAATCCCCTCTGCAATGTAAGGAGGGTATACTGTGCTTTGTGTGTTTGTTCATGTGTAGATGGGTGTAGCTGAATGTATTTGTAGCAGTGCTTCAGCCATTTGGATAATTAAACAACCTTTTGAGTTGCGAAGTACTTGGTCTTAACGCCTAAGAACTGTATTTAAAAAGGACTCTCCCTTTGAGATCTGTCTGTCTGAACAGGGGGACAAACTGGGCTGGAAGTTGTATCTAGCAAACATAAAGCTGAGATTTGGAATCTGTTTAGTAACTTCATCAGCGGTTGGCTTATGAGGCTGGTGTGGCTGCATCATTTCTGCAAGGGAAACAGCAGAGGATATTATGAGGCAAATAATATTCAAAGCAGGAGAGTATGGGCGCTCCTTAGAAATCTCTTGGAACTGGTGCTTAAGTCTTAGAGGTAAACAATCATGATGACTCACTAAAAATTTATTATTCAGGCTCTGGGACCCAGGCATTCATTTCCTTTTCCCTATCTGTCAATGCCGTTTGGACCTTTCATTAGGAGTTTTTAACATATTAGTTCCAAATATGTGATATGTGTAGCCACTTGTTTGTCACTCATTTTTTCAGACTACTCAGTCTGCTTTTGACTGTGGGGAACATTTCATTCCATGTTTCACTCTGAACTGTTGCTTGGGTGTTAGTGGTCTAATTTTCAGGTAGTGTTAATTTTGTGGGACTGGCATTCTCAATAAGTCCCATAAAAGAATGACCCTGTCATCTTAGATCTTATTTTTGAACTTGTTCAAAGTGAATTTATTCTTTCCCCAGCTCTAGGTGCCAAGGGTCAGATAACTAGACAAAAATTCTGAGTATTCCCTATGCGAAACAAATCCTCTTTCCAGATTTGTTCTTAAGGACCAGCTTTTGTCTCCTTGACTTTGAGCAGAGTAAGGAGGTTGCCTCTGAGAACTGCAAGATCATCCTCAAACCCTACATTCTCTGACCTGTGCTCTTTGCAGTAAAATAGGTGGGAACACGCGAAGGGCTGGGTTATGCTGTCTTGGATCATAGCAGGTAGTCCACTACCTTTACAGTCGCAGTCGAGATCAGAAGAAAATTTCTGAGAATTATGGACAGCTCAGAGCAGATTAAGTTGGTCAGACCCTAAAAGAACAGCCACAGAAAAAGGTACCTCAAAGAAGTGTGACTTTTTTGTCCATTTCATTTTTTTTTGATGGGTAAGTATTTCCACTGCCTTATTTTTGTTTCTCCAAAACAAAAGAAAGAAGGGGGGAAAAAATACATTATGGGTGATTTCTTATTTATATCATAAACACAATGGAGAGATCTCAAATGCTTTTCCTGTGCTTGGAAGAAAAAAAAATCTTGAATACCCGTTTTTCTTTCGATAAGCTGTGGTAGTGCTTTCAGTAGTTCATCAATGACCTGATTTAGAGTTCTTCCCTGGTCCTCTCCTTCTCAATGGTGGCTGATGCTTGTATTACAGTGCTAATAAATTTTCTGAAATCTGTTGCTCTTAAAACAGTGGCATGTTAATTAAAGACCGATGAAAAAATATTCTTGAAATGCTGAAACATTATTTTGTCATAGTCTGGGAAAATGGACATTTTTCTCCTTTCCACATAAAATGTGAGTAGTCTTGTTGAGGAGATATATGTCTGCAGGAGTGGTTGGTCGTGCATATTGGTGCCCAGATGTGGTAGCGTATGTAGCTCGGAATGGAAAACCAGAGCTCACTGAAGCTACTGTAGATGGCTTTCAGGTGATCTCATACTCTTCCATCTGTGTAGCTCCTCCAAGCTGTGGCACAGAAGAGGGAAGGACTGTACTGTTTGAGTCTACTTGTAAAATCAGTAGCTTCGTGGTGATCATAGTTGTGATTAAGGCTTGGGAAAGCAGTAGGAAAACAAGTTAAGATTTGAATACAAAGGTGCAATCGCTTTTGCATTTTGAAATTCTATTGGTACATACAGAACATGTCCAAAGTTTGGGAGGGCCAAATACTGCCAGGGTCTGACTGCTCTGACTTGCGTGATTTCCCCACATTAGTTTGTGGGCTGACTCTAATGAGGCTTGTGATGGGCTTAAAACTTAGACCGTGCACCTCGTGCAGGTAATAAAATTAGCACAGACCGACTGATAAAAACTGGGAAATGGATCTCGCAGATTTCAGAGGTGAATAAAGCTCCAAAGGGAAGGTTTGAACAGGAGATGGCTTGGATCAACATGAGATTTCTGCCTAGGACACGTAGTGTGGATTTGTCCTGTTCTGTTTTGCATTTTGGTGAGGCAAAGGGTGAAATGATGGTGTGTAATATCGTATTGAACTGGTTTTGAGAGCAAAATCAGCTAAGTTTAGGAAAAACACTGTGCAATGCCTCCTACTAAGGGCTTACCAGTTCTAGGTTGTAATGCAGATATTTGTTACAGTCAGGCACCTTGTGTTGGTGAGCTGCTGCCTTTTAGGAACTATGGTGTACCTTTAGTTTGGTTTTGTATGTCTGTGAGTATATTTCCCATTCTAATATGTATAAAACTTTTGAATCGATTTCCGTGATTTTATTTTTTGGTTTTTAGAAATGAATCTCTCACAGATGCCACCTTCCTACCAGTTTCATAAAAGTAGCTTGTCAGCTGGAGGGAATGAACCCAGTAGCGTTTTCCATAAATCAAAGCTTTTGCATTGTAAACACTAAAAAATCCAGACTTGGAAGTGCCCAAACTCTGTGAAAAACTTACACCAGACTTAGTCAAGCAGAAGACACTGATCCATGGCAAACCAGGCAGCCCAAGTTCTCAGACTCATGAGGCTATTTCTGTGCTTTGTTGTAGTCTCTGGGCACGTAGTGTGTGAAATTTATGACAAAATGTGACCAGTAGATCCCATCAGCAGAGATCAGCTCATCAAAGGCTTTGGAGGGGATCAATTTCTGTGATTTTATTTTTTGGTTTTTAGAAATTAATCTCTCACAGATGCCACCTTCCTACCGGTTTCATAAAAGTAGCTTGTCAGCTGGAGGGAATGAACCCAGTAGCGTTTTCCATAAATCAAAGCTTTTGCATTGTAAACACTAGAAAATCCAGACTTGGAAGTGCCCAGACTCTGTGAAAAACTTACACCAGACTTAGTCAAGCAGAAGACACTGATCCATGGCAAACCAGGCAGCCCAAGTTCTCAGACTCATGAGGCTATTTCTGTGCTTTGTTGTAGTCTCTGGGCACGTAGTGTGTGAAATTTATGACAAAATGTGACCAGTAGATCCCATCAGCAGAGATCAGCTCATCAAAGGCTTTGGAGGGACCTGCCCTGGTTTGGTATCCATCTCCTCAACTCTCATGCTTTGATTGTTGCTCTAACTCAGAGCCCCTGAGTGCTTGGGTGGGGAATGCAGTTAAACCCTGAAATATGCCAGCAAAATTTAATGAACGAGTATTTGAGTCAAAAAAATTAAAAACAAGAACTGGTGCATTTAAAAAAAACCTGTTTGTTTGCCACTATAGAATAAACTGTTTGCATTGTCAAACCCTGAAATATGCCAGCAAAATCTAAGGAAAGAGTATTTGAGTCAAAAAAATTAAGAACAAGAATTGGTGCATTTAAAAAAAAAAACTGTTTGCCACTATAGAATAAACTGTTTGCATAAAATATTTCCACTCTAACTGCAAAAAGTTCCCCTGGTGATTCTGTGCGTGTGTCTGTGTTGCCGTGTGTCTCTTGGGAGCCGCTGAGTGACTCAGATAAGTTTCAGCTGGATTCCTAAAACAAAGTCTGTCAGTCTGTGAGTATTTTTGATCTCCAACATTTTGTTATTTTGGTGATTTGTTTTTTTTCTCTCTCTTTTTATTTGGGAAATAAAGTCGTGCTGACAAAACTGACATCTGGTTACCCTGTGGAGTGATTTGTGATTATAGGCAAAATGGTTTTTGACCAAGGATCTGCAAATGATGCCATCCACTTAAAACTTTGCAGTTTTGCAGTAAAGCTTATGTATTATTCTCCAAGGAAAAAAAAAATAATAGGAGGGGGAGGGGGAAATGTATGTGTTGGTGCAGTGTGTGGCTGTGCACTTGTCTCTGCTCAGGATCTATATTTAGCGAAAGATGACAATATCATTGCTGCCCTCTAGATGTGTTTATGCTTTGACAGTGTGAAGCTTTTATTCTTGTTTGAGGAAACAGATTAATTCACTTATTAGGATATTCCGAAGCTTGATTAATTCAGCAAATGGGCAGTAATGAGACGCTTTTTGCTGCTTGCAAAAAACGTGGTTGTACGTGCAAGTACTTACAGTGTGTTACAGGCTCCAGTGTCTCTACTGTAGCTCGTTCCTTTCCCAACAAATTACCCCCTGCAATGGGGAAATGTAGGATCAGATGTTCATCTGGTGGCCAATGTGTTGAAGTCTTCACTGTCTGACTCGAGTTTGTCTGTGACAGCTGGTGCAGTGGAGGGGTGTTCCATGGTGAGACCTGTCCTTTGGGGCTGGTCGGCTCGGTTTGGGCTGGCTGCAGGTAGGAGGTGGAGGCATTGGAAGCTCTTTGGCTTGCAGATTGAGACACACAACTCTAGGTATTGCCATGTAGGTATCAACAGCCAGTTTAAGTATCTAAACTGTAATACAAATTAGTGGAGCTCTAATTGATATAGAGGATGAAGCCTAGAGAGTTACTCAGCTCAACCTGAATGTACAGATGAGTTCAGGAGCCCATGCAGAGGTGCTAGTGCCAGTTGGTGTGTCCAGGGGTATCTTGCCTGGTACC